GTTTTTACAACCCTTTCAGGATGCAGAAGTCCTCCTCACTCACAGACACACAAAAACCAGCTGAGACCATGGCCGTCTCCGACGGGGACAAGTTGCTGGCCCGCCCGGAGCCCCGGGCCCCGCGTCTGTGGGGTGGAGATGGGACAGTGGGAGGTCTGTCCCTGGCCAGCGGGGAGGGCTCATTAGATCCAAAGGGGAAGTGTCCAACCCGCTGGCAGGACTCGTGCTCAGCGAGCAGTCACTGGGGGAGGTGAGAGGCCAGACATTTCAGTTTTCCAGTCCTGGCCACTTGCTCTGATGGGGAAAATGAGACATTTTGGGGGGCTCGCAACCTGAATCTGTGCCGTAACCTAATGCACATTCTTGATAGCCTATAATTAAGTCACTGCCCCTTTCTCCACAGTCTGGTCTTGCAAGACCTGTTTACCGAAGTGCTCCTCCCGTTTACAGAGGCCATGAGCCGTGAACCGCCCCCGGGGGGTTATCAGCGCTGTCGCCAGGCCAGGCCTTCAGGTGTGGTCTCACGGCCCCCACCCCAACACACGGGCTTTTTGCAAAGCCCACACAAGGTCCGGAAGTCCCAGCACATATGCGGGGGGCAAAGAAACCAAAGGGTATAAAGGGAGAGCGTCCTCCATATTGGCTGGCTCAGGATTTGGAGAGAAACGGCCTCCCCTGAGTCCTGTACTAGTACATGGGGAACGTCTGAGAAGAAATGGGTTTTTCTTGTGTCTCCAAGTGCTCCTGTGTGTTCTTCGGTCGCCTGGTAAATTCTGTAACGGCTCAGTGGTTAGAGCAGTGGTTCTCAACCTTCTGGCCCTTTAAATACAGTTCCTCATGTTGTGACCCCACCATAAAATTATTTTTGTTGCTACTTCATCACTGTAATGTTGCTACTGTGATGAATCGTCATGTAAATATCTGATATGCAGGATGGCCTTAGGCGACCCTTGTAAAAGGGTCGTTCGACTGCCAAAGGGGTCGCGACCCACAGGTTGAGAACCTCTGGGTTAGAGCATCTGCCCAAGGACTGAAGGGTTGCAGGTTCGATTCCCCGTCAAGGGCAAGTACCTGGGTTGCAGGTTTGATCCCTGGCCTGGGTTGGGGTGTGTGGGAGACAACCAATTGATGTCTCTCTTTCTCTCCCTCTCTCTCTCTCTCTCTCTCTCTCTCCCCCCCCTTCTCCCTTCTCTCCCTCCCTTCCACTCTCTCTAAAAAAAATAAATCAATAGAAAAATTATCCTCAGGTGAGGATTAACAAAAAAAAGAAAGAAAAAGAGAAAAAGACTATTCTAGAAAAAAAAATTCACACCATCTCCTTGCAGTTCCAGGAAAGAGAAGGGAGTGAGGGCACAGGCAGCCCATGGTCACAGTAGCTCCTCTCCTGCTCCTCTGGCCGAGGCCGGGCACCCAGGGAGAGGAGCTGCTGGGGGCCACCGGGCGTGTCCCCGAGGGTCCCGTGTCCGGTGCTGTCGGCGGCCCCGGGAGCCCGTCTCAGCTCCTGTTTCCTGTTACAGAGACATCAAGCCAGACAACATCCTGCTGGACGAGCACGGTAAGCCCGGGCGCTGCAGCGAGGAGTGGGGGGCCAGGGGCTCTGGGAAGTGGGGGGTCCCTGATGGACTAGGAGCCTTTAGCTTCGGTCCTGGTGGATGAGGATCTGAGTAAGTTTCTGGTCAGCGTCCTGCCAGGGTGAGTGGAGTCCAGCGTTTTTGATGGTGTCACATCTGGAGACGCAGCTGTTGGCTTCCCAGAGAGGAGGACAGGGCGGAAGTGGGGATGATTTGGGGCTGGCGGCCCTGGGGGTTCAACCCCAGCTCTCCAGGGGTGACAGTGACCCTGTGACTGCGGGAGAGCGACTCACCTCTCAGCCTCGGTGTCACCTGCCAAACAGGGAAGGTGGTGCTGGCTCCCAGGTCGTCATGGGTCCATACGGGCTCGTGTTTGGCTGGCGAGCCAAAAATCCGTCATCAGTCACCATAACCCACTAACCCTCCCCTCGCTAACCCTCCCCTCGCCCAGGCTCCTCAAACGTTTGCGTGCCTTCAGAGCCGGGCTGGCTCATTAACCTGACAGTCGGCCTTAAACTGGCGGAAGATTCTGGGTCTCACAGCTGCCAGGTACGGCCGCCTGAGCCGGCCCACGGACCACACCGAGGAGCAGGCTCCTGCCGGCTGTCCCCGGAGTCTTGTGGGAATCTCCGGGGAGACGCGGTAGGAATCAAAGGCCAGCCTGACTGCTTTGGCGAGCCCGGGGCCATCCTTCTGGGTCGGCCCCAGGGAGGCGGTGCCCAGCCACGTCCGGACCACGGGCTTAGGGCCGGGCCGGCCCAGCGATGCACAGTGGCTGCCCTGAGAGTCCACTGCGCAGCGTCCCACGCTCCCCACGGGCCTCTGGACCTGCTCCTCCGCGGCATCTCTTCATCAGGTGTCTCTGCCCGGCGCTGGGACGCAGGGCTGCATGCACTATTTTATACTAGGGAGCGAGTGGCTTCCTCACCCTCCCTTTCACGCCAGTGCCAGAAGGAAGTATAGGAGCAGGCAGTTCTCCCAGGGCACGAGCCCTCCCCACCCTCATCCCGGATTTATGGCAGAGCCGCGTTAGACTAGTTATTTGTTCCTCAGTCATGGTTGCCTCCCCCGCCCAGCTTCATTGAGTTATGGCTGGGATTTAAAAGTTGCACCTATGAAGGATGGACAGCGTGATTGGTAAGGTGTACAACACGATGATTTAACCCTTTGCAGTCGTATTAAATTTGGACATGGGTGTCGTACTGGTCGGAATTAATTTCCATTGGAAGAGCAGTGATACATAACATGCAAGATTATGAAGGATAAACAAGATTTATTAATTCTTTTTTGGAACTACGTCACTACTCGTAGAATCACTACAAATGTTATCACTTTCTATGTCAGAGTCAGTATTCAAGGGGCCAAAATAAAACTCTTCATCGTTACTTTCAGCTTCTCATGTGGAACGACCGTGTTTGTTTATATTGAGTTTCGATATCTCCGATTTGTTGGGGCAGTGTTTTGGTTCGTGACAAGGTCGCTTAGACACTTAAGAGCTTTCAGAGAAATTAGGAACTGATACATGAATGAACAGAGTTAAGATTTGTACGGTTCCTTGCTGTGGTGGCTGAGAGCAGACATACGACCGGAACGGTAAAAAAGCTTTGGTGGCTGAGAGTAGACAAACGACCGCAAAGGGTTAATACACGTGAGCCTTGTGAAATGATTACTGCCGTCAGGCTAATTAACACACCCGTTACCTCACACACCTTCCTTTTAAATGGGTGGTGAGAACGTGTCAGATTTACCCCCTTGGCGCGTTTCCCGTAGACACGGCAGCATCATTAACGGCGGTCCCCGTGCTGTGCGTTCCGTCCCCTCACCATTGGCCAATGGCTCACAAACAGCTTGCAAAACACATCACCCTGCGTGGCCATTTGTGTAAAGAGTTTCATCATCCGTCTCATTCAGTGTTTCCTCGGAGAACATGCCGCTTGGCTGCGTTTACGATGAAATATACACATAATTAAATAGACGCATTAATAATTCATTAATAATGTTTAAAACCTGCTGCTCGCCCCAAACCCACGCCTCTCACGGAGCTTCCCCTCCCCCAGCGTCTGCCTGGCTCTCTGACCCTCAGGCGGGGCTCTGCCTCCCAGATGGCACTTTGCTCGGCTCTGGGATGTGGGGTCCCTCGGCCAGAAGCGAAAGCAGACCGAGACCGAGCTGGAGGGAGAGGAAGCATCGTAGGGAGGTGGAGAGAGGAGTTGAGGTGCTTTGGGGCTAAGGGCAGAGCTGGAGGAAGTGGAGGTGCACCGGTGAAGGACTGCCCCCGCTTTCTGCTGGCCCCACGGGGCTGGGTAAGGAGCAACCCCGCGAGCCTGATACGCAGGCAGGAAGGCCACGTCCGCTCGCAGGTCTGGGCGGTTAAGCTCTTGCAGGCTTTCTCCCTAGACGGAGGTCACATGCCTCAGCCAGGCAGCCCTGATGTGAGCCCACTGCCTGGGACCACCTGGCTGCCACTGGAACACCTGGGCCCGGTGGTGGCCTTGGGGCCCCCACCCTCTCCTCCTGGCCCCCCTACCCCCGGGCAGGCCAGCCTTGCATGGCCACGGTGGAAGCCAGCGCAGGGCAAGTCCAATCACTCAGGCCTCCCCCTGTGCCTTCTTGCTGCCGTCCCAGCGGGCCAGGCACAGCACGTGACCCCACCTGGGGCCGAGGGAGGACCCTGCGAAGGTGCACGGCCACGGGGGCGGCATCGAGGGGGAGAACGTGGAACCCACGCTCTCGTCTAACGCGGCCGGTGGAACGGAGGACCGCCTGCCAGTGGGCGGTTGCCCTTTCCCACGTGGGGAGCACATGTCCCAAAGGCGGGCAGAGACGCACCAGAGACAGGCGGACAGCGCCTGAGTGTTGCTCAGGGTGTCGTTGCCGGCCCTTAAGGCTCACTGACCTGCAGCGCTGCCCTCCTCCGTGTCCAGGCAGGTGTCCCTGCATTTTGGGAGGCATGGTGCCAGGCCCCCGAAGGGCACAGCGCCCTGTTGTCAAGGACCTCGGGTGCTCGGCCAGGGCTGCAGTCACTCAGGAGCTGTGAAAGGTGCTGCCGCACAGGCCTCGCCCACAGAGGCCAGTGCTGGGGGGTGGGGTTCCTAATGACCCCGTGTTCCTGAGGGGGAGCTGGGGCTGAGGGAGCCACGGTAGAGCAGAGAGGTCACTCTGGCCCTGCAGGGTCAGTGGTGGGAGCGGCAAGGCCTGTGTGAGAGCAGCTCAGCGGGGCTGGAGGAGGAGGGGGAGGGGGGCTTCCTGGAAGAGGGATGTCCATGTGGGATCCTGCAGCATGAAGGGGTCAACACAGCGTTAGGGCTCATGCCATTCCAGAGGGCACGGGGGCATCTCCGCCCCAGGAGGCCATGAAGACCCTCCCGCGTGGCTGTTTCTGACTTTCCACAGCTGGGCCGTGCGGTGGAGAATCACTCTATTGTCTGTATTCTATGCTTGACTGCTTCGCACTCCAGGCCACTGTCGCCTGCCCTGGTCATCCCAGCATCCCAGGGCCAGGCGCCAGACACCCAGGATAGCCAGGCCGCCCCCCCCCCACTAAATCCATCAGGTACCGTCCTGAGGCCCCCACTGACCACAGCCGAGACAGGAGAGATGTCCCTGGGCACAGGAGCCCTCTCCTCGCCCTGCCCTGCCCCCAAACGGTCTTGCACAGTTGTCCTGAGATGGGCAGCCTGGGTGGACCTGCCTCTGCTACTCACCAGGAGCTCTCACTCTCTGAGTCCGTGCCTCTAAACTTGTAATCTATAAATATTTTTATCATGCCTTCATTATGAGTAGATTTGTTTATTTATAGGTAATATGCACTAAAAAATATGTACTTTAAAACTTGCCCATAAAATAGACATCTATACTAATAAAAGGATAATATGCTAATTAGACTAGACATCTTCCGGAAGTCCTTCCGGACAAAGCCATGATGGCGGGGGCCAAGGCAGAGTCAATTAGGGGTGATCAGGCCAGCGGGGGAGAGTAGTTAGAGGCAATCAGGCCGGCAGGCAGAGGTGGTTAGGGGTGACCAGGCAGGCAGGCAGGCAAGCAGTTAGGAGCCAGCAGTCCTGGATTGAGAGAGGGATTCCGGATTGGAGAGGGTGCAGGCTGGGCTGAGGGACCCTCCCCTCCCCTGTGCATGAATTTCATGCACTGGGCCTCTAGTATATACACTGAGT